TATTTTGATAAATTTCATAAATCAATAAACAAAATAGAAAATTACTTGGCTGCATTAGAAAAAGGAAACCATTCAATAATCCATCAATTAAATGATGAATTAATCGAAATAGATGATGTATTGAATGGATATATATTATGCAAAGGTTGCCAACAAGAGAAAATGGAAAAATTAACAAATAAGCTATTTAACTCATTAAATGAATTAATTAATAGAAGCAATTTGAATGCTAGAGTTAATAAATCATCAAATGAATTGCTTGAAACATTAAAAATCATAGAGAGTTGTATCAGTTGTAAAAAATATTATATAAAAGAAGTAAAGCATTTTGATGTATTCTATAGATCAATAAATGAAATAGAAAATTATTTGGTTGAATTAGAAAAAGAAAAAGAAGAACAAGAAAAGAGATATATAATCAATCGGTTAGATGATAAATTAATTTACATAGATGATGTGTTGAGTAGAAAAGTATTATGCAAAGGTTGCAAAGAAAAAAAAATTGAAAATTTAAGTAATAAATGTGGAAATGAAGAAATTGCTAGATTTCTTTATGAATGTAAACAAAATTCAGGTAATATTCGATGGAATCCATTTAATGAATTTGGAAATATCAAATATTTAGCCAAAGGTGGTTTTGGTGAAGTTCATGAAGCAATTTGGATTGGCCATTATGACGATTCAACCTATGGTGAATATAATGAATATAAAGTTGTATTAAAAAGATTATATAATTCAACTAATAAAATTTTGGATATTTTAAAAGAGGTAAATAAATGTTTAATATTAATATATTAATTACTCCTTTAAACATGAATTTAAGTGGTGATATTTAACTTTTTTAGTTAAAAGCAAATAATGAATTTAGAAATAATGCTGTTCCATGTTATGGAATTACTAAAGATCCAAATAAGAATGATTATTTGTTGGTATTTCATTATGCTCCATATGGAGATTTACATAATTATTTATCAAACAATTTTAAAGAAATCACTTGGAAAGATAAAATTGGGTCACTTTGGTGGATTGCAGTTGGGTAAAGTTTTTATATTTTTATTATATCAATCCCCATTGATTATGATTTCATTGGATAAGATGTAATTTGATGCTTGATCAATTATCTTATTCAATGATCAACCACCAATTAATAACCAAACATTTTTTTATTTAATATTAATTTAAATTGTATTTTATTTATTTATTTATTGTTATAAATTAGATTAAAAGAAATTCACGGGAATAATTATATTCATCATGATTTGCACAGTGGTAATATTTTTTCATATAATACTGGCAGTAGTATAATAGGAGATTTGGGATTATGTCAACAATTAAATGAAAAAGATGATCCAGATGAAATCTTTGGAGTGATGCCATACCTGGCCCCTGAAGTATTGTCAAAAAAACCATATACAAAAGAATCAGATATTTATAGTTTTGGTATGATTATGTGGGAACATACTACAGGAAAGAAGCCATTTTACGATAGGCCCCATAATTATGGTCTAATTCTGGACATACTAGAGGGGAAAAGACCAGAAATTACTGAAGACACACCTGAATTCTATGCTTATTTAATGAAGAAGTGCTGGGATCCCAACCCGAAGAATAGGCCTACTGCTGAAGAAGCTGATTTATGTTTTCGTAAATATCTTGAACCTTATCTTTCTGAAGAACCCGAAAAAAAGAAAATCATTGAATTAGCAGAATCAAAACGCCAAGAAATCATTAAATCAGAAAAATATTTAATTGATGAAGAGAAACATAGGAATCACCCGGAATCATTTTATACAAGTCGAGCTCTTGGGAAATCAATTGAACAAGATGATATTTCAATTAATAATTTATCAGTCTTACTTAAATTAAATATTTAAAAATTTATTTTTCAGTTTTAAAGAGAAATTTTTTAAATTATTTAGTATTTTATTTTCAAGCATAGATTATTGTATTTTATCTAATAAGCAACAAATTATATCAAGGAAAAAATATTTAAATAAAGGCATAATTTATATTAATAAGAAAACAAGAATAAATAAAAATAACTTTACAGTATTATGCAGGTCGTTATACATATCAGTCTGTGTGTTTCAATCCAGGCACTAAAGACAGCTCAAGCGCGTTTTTATTTTAATGTGAATTTACTATTACGCGTGGTTGATCTTAAAGTCAAAAATATCAAGCTATCATAACTCGCGCGTGTGTAAAATTTGCTCCACATATCAACATCGGCCCGCCTGTGCATTCAAACTCAGACGTTAAAGACAATTCGATTGCGTTTAGATTTTTTTGATTTATGAAATGCAGTTTTGTTGTAAGAAATGCTGATATCTAGAATCTGGGGCACTCAAAAGAAACAATTAGCCATGTAAGACCAGCAACACCTGAGAATGAATCAGAAATAAAGAGGTTGCTTTACAAACAATTACAAATCCACCTCAAAATCTTGTTTTTGAATCAAATAGACACGAAATTGACTAGAAAACCATATTATTTTATTTATATATTTTATTTTATAGATCAGTCGATAAATACTTTCACACCATATAAAGAAGTTTTCTAAATGTTTCACGTAAATTAACTTTTGGAAATAATCTTTACCTATTACTACGATTTTATGAAAATGTACACATTCCACACCCTGTACCTTGATTTAACTTAGAAAAAAGAGCAAATTGTCCAAATCGCACAAGAAGTAGGAATTCATGCAGATGTTTTCAAGAAACCTTATTAACGCAGGAATCCCTTTTATCTCCAACGTTCCACAAGTGAATCTCTTACAGTCACCGAGACTATTGATCAATTGGTGATGATTGAATGACTTGATAACTGTGTTTGTCTCTGCCTGAGTGGATTTATGTTTTTCAACAAAAAAGACGCGGAAGGAGTCAAAAATAATCGTTTGATCGTTCATAGTCAATAATGTAAGAGTGAGTAATTTGATCAAATTAACAGTTGGTCGATGGATTTTTATTGGATTACGTTATCCCTGTAACCTACGTCACAGTCGGATGTTGTAACCAATCAGTTGTTATTGTTATTACATTTACAGAATTTTTCTTTGTGATATTAATATCCGAATGATTCGAATTACACTGAATGATTACTTGGATCACTCGAGTGAAGCGGGCGAAACAATGAAACCAATGAAACGAATAAAACGAAAGTAATGCGTACGTCTAATATTAAAGTTTCACAAGAAAATCACAGTAATTGCTTTTTTCTATTGCAGCGACAATAATAACCAATTACTTCAATTACTAATGTTATGTTATATTTTTTTTCTAATATCGATAAAGTATATAATAGGTGATAAATATGCAATAGTATCGTATAAGATCTTATAATTTTTCAAAAAGTCGAGACTGATAGACAACCCTTCTATTGACAATTAAACGAAGATTCTAAATAAAGCAAACAAAATGAGTGTAATTAATAAAACGAATGGATAAATGAAACAAATTAATGAATAAAATGAACGAAACGAATAATTTGGATGAAACTGATGAAACTAATCATTCGGATAAGAAATTGTTACCGTACGTTAATAATGTTCACCAGTGAGTGGATGCTGGGATTTTGATACATATTCGTATTATGAGATACTAGTTACATGATGAAATTTTCAAATTTTTATATATTTTTTTAATGTCATGAACAAATGTATAGAGCTTCGAACGATCCGAGCCAACCCGTAGGTTAATCAGTTGACCTGAATGATAAAAAAAAATGGTGAAAAAAAACCAAACAAATCATATTTCGTTCAATTGACATTCAACGTTCGAGTTTGAAACACTTTTCCGAATTAAATTTGATATATTGATATGCAAATTGTGTTTACTTGTTAATTTTTTTTTGTTGTTTTAAATAGAAGTTAAAAACGTGTAAAAACGCGTAAAATCAACTAAATTAGATTGCGTTCGAGCCGTATCTATCATTCGTGCTTAAAACACATATTATTAATATGCACAAGTTAATTTTGTCACATATAACAATGATTTGTTAGGTCGGGTTAACAACCAAAGAAACTCAGATGAAGACAGATAATCACTATTACTATACTTGAACTGTTCGGAACTCTAATGCTAGTAATCAAATAACTGTCTGAAGTTGTCAATAAAAATTTATTTTTAATCGATTTTTGAAAAGTTTTTTTTCATCTTTAATATTTGTCACTAAAACCATAATTCTAAAACCAATTATTCATTATCCACATATTAATACACAAATTCCACCACCACAACAATCATAACAAATACTTCTTTATCTGTTCTTTCTGAAAACTGCTTCCAATGCTGTGATCCAATTTTGTAGTATAATAACAAGACGTATAAGTATTTAGATAAAAAAAAAACAATATTTTATGGTGTAAGTTTATTATTAAATATTAAATAAAATTATGCAAAATGAATATAACATGACGACATACTAATTTACTACTTGAGAGTAGATTTTTTTATTAATTTGAAATTGTACTTCAGCTTTCCTCTAAAAATCCTTCTCTTTATATGTAATTTAATTATGCGACACAGCTTCAGAAGCAGCAATGCGTTGGTATGTTTCAGCAAACATGCTGCTATGCAATTATAATTAAAGAAATGTTATATTTCCAGATCTCATGACCACTATACAGGACAGCAAATCATTTTGCTACGAAACAGATTTAGTTTGATCATTTTATTAAATTACAATTTGCCAATATTAACCGGTTAAAATATTTTTAGGCGCGGCCAATCTCTACTCCATATTAGATTTTATGCACGATCTCTAGTTAAAACAATTCAATTGAAGGGGAAAAAACGTTAATAATAATAACTAAAATTTTGATATTAATACAAGTTCATTAAGTAGCATAATAGTTAATAATCATATAGGTAGTGGGAATATTAAGTTTGGTCTACTATTATAAATATCCATGGTATAAACTCCATGGCGTTGTATTAATGCAATAATATACATAATAATAATAATGTACAGTAAATGGTAGATTAACATAAATAAAACTAATCAGAACAACTTTTGTCCTGATTTTTAAATTAAATTAATAAATAAATTATTTTTTCAAGTAAAATTCTATGTTAAATTGTCTTTAGCTCAATTAGCCCTAATTCATATTGTACTTGGTTGCCTGTTAGTATTGGTGGATAGAGAGAATTTGGTTTAAAAAAAGGTTCTATGGGTTTTAAAATATTATCACTGGCAATATGTAAGAAGAGAGTTGAAGAAATTCTCCATAGTGGTCTATCCGGTCTATTTTTCTTTGCATTTTCAATGGCCTAATGTAATTAATTAATTAATTAGATTAGGATAATATAAATATTCTTCATGCTTGTTTTTATTTGTTACCTTGATTGTGGCTTCTGAGACGACTACATCATGATAACCAGCCTTAACATTGCCACCAGTCAACCACTCAAATTGTTTGCCGGCTTGAACTAAAAAATGTCCATCTGGAACGTGAACTTCTATTTTTTCTGATCCATCACGTGACCATATATTCAACCCAGGAAATCGTGATTTACCATGAATGGTTCTTTATAGAGATGGTGAAATGAAAACAGCGGTTATGATGGTTATAATGATAACAGATGTGATAATAGTAATGGAAAATAAAGATTGTTATGATGATATTAATTCATTTTAACATACATGAAATCCAAATCATAATGAAATCCTAAGTTTAATAATATATAAATATTAATAATAATAGATATCAATTAAAAATAAATATATCATCGGAACCTTTTTTCAATTTTTTTTTCCAAATAAAAAAATCAAAAAAAAAAAACAAATCCAAATTTACCAGCTAATATGGTTCCAAGTTTTCCGTATTTATTCAAATCACTTCCAGTAGGTGATAGAAGATGTGGACCTTTTTTTGTAAGATCTGGCAAATGATTCGCAGACATTCCAAATCCAACAGATGCCATTTCTACAACCTTTATAACCGCTTGATATAATTGGTCACCTCGTTGATCCAAGATTCTTGACCATTTATCCTTAAAAGCTATCATTGATTAATTTTATTATTAATAATATATTATTGTTATGATAATTTAACCTTGATAATTTCTTCAAATATTAACCCTCGGGTACAACAACAGCATATTCAGCATTAAGTTGCGGAAACTCGGTTTTCTCGGGAAATTCTCCAATGTTCCAAAAAAATCTCCATTTTGGATCGGGCCCTTTCGGAATCGAAGGTCGACTTTTTTTTGGCATCTTTTCAAAAAATAAATAATTTATTATTATTATAATTATAATATGATTATGGTTTTTAAGGTGATTATAATTTCATTAGCAACATTTATACATACCTTTTCAATCATCTTGTGACAATTAATATCACTTTTACATTTTGGTTCTTCTTTCAATTCAGGTGTTACACCAACTTGATATTCAAGTTCTGGACGTGCGTCTTTAAGTTTTATCTTTTTTGGGGGAGGAACAAAGTTTCAATTAATATTATTAGTGATAATAAACACTACTATCATAATAATGATTGATAATTGAAATACTTCAAAAGGTTGAGCATAATAATCTTCAAGTAAATCCTAAATTTATATTCAAATAAATTAACATTTGTTGAATGGGGAGTGAGTGAACAGTATATTCAACTGTTATATATATCTAAATGCTTACTAAAAACTCGGAATTATTATCTTCCTTTGCACGAGGATCTTTAACCAATAAGGCACCATATTTACTTAATGCATCTGCTGTCTATACGATAGTAATAGCAAAGTTTATTTTTAGTTCGCGGTTTTTTCTTATATATAAAACAAAATATGATTTATTAACTTTGCGACATTCATTAATTGCCAATTCAGAATCCTTATCGTTCAAGTATACGCCGAGGTCAATAATCGGAAGACTAAAGGTTGTTGACGACGATTTTCCAAGGAATCCAGTGATGATATCAATAAAACTTTGGAGTTTTTTTGTTGACATTTATTATTATAATTTGATAAATTTATAGTTTGTTGTTTACTTTATTGTTATTATTATTATTAAATAATAATCAAAAATTAAAAAATAAAGGGTTGAAAAAAAGGATGTTTTAATTTAATCGATATCAATTTAATTGTCTCCAAATTTGGAAAAAAAAAGGTTGTATAGGAAATAAATGGGCTGTCTCAATCAGTTGTGCATGGTGCATATTAAAATAGATAATTTATTGTTTTTTATTTTCTAAATTTGGGATAAATGACGTTAGCAAGTTAAGTGGCGACAAACCTTCGAATGATGGTAATAGTGATAGTGATAGTAAGAGTAATAGTGATAGTATTTGTAACGGTTTCAAGTATCCGTAAATGTTTTCAAATGCTTGTGGAAATTAATAATGTTACAATACTCATGGCGTGAAGATGTTTGTGGAATTGGATATATTTATATTTAATAATTGGTTGGAATTAATCTTTAAAATTTTATTAACTGTCATCTAAATAATGATTAATTGAATTGGTGGTGGTTGTTGTGTTTGCATATTTTTTTAATTACATATACCCTCTGGATTTTCTATAGAAATTGCTAATTTTATTTGATAAATCTGATATTTCTCATCTTCATCTTCATTAAAGTTGTTCTAATATAAAACTATCTTTAGGTTCTCCGCGCTTTTTATATTTTTTACAATAAAAGATTCGAATTTATCTCTTCATTGTCAATATATATATATTATGATATTATTATTATCACTAAAGAATTTTTTTAAAAAAAAACGATTTTAAGTATTATGAATGTTTCAAGCGTTACGATTATTCCAAAATGTATTGAAAACGAGAGCCTTTATTATTTACATACGAATTCGTGTAACAAACGGTTATTAAACTCCATGAATAAAGTTTAGTGAAACCTAATGAGAATATTGAAGGAACTTTCTAAGTAAAGCTACGATTATTCAAAAATAGTATTACGTTTTCACTTCAAAACAGAGATTATTCCTTAATGAATGAATGGATCTCGTCCATTTGTGTAACTTAACCATATTTAGTATTTTTATTGACGGCAATGGACCATATTAATACTAGTCTCAATGGGTTGTGTTATTTGGGTTACACGATCATCCCAAAACGTCACATAATGGTCCTTATATACTATATATTACTCTACAATTTAAAAAATTTGTTGAGACACATCTCTATTTTATTTACATATCTAGTCCACATGAAGGATAATATATCTACTACTACGGAAATACCAGAAGTGAAAACAGTATGAGTATTAGTATATTTATTGTATATATGCAGGGGAAATAATTGCAAATATGGTTAATTGATAACATCTCGATTATTTAATAGAATCCCTTGGAGAGGGAAACCACAAAACTACAGGCAAAAGAAAATTTGGTGATAAATAAAAAAAACGTTGGCCAAATAAATTTTTTGTCTTTATTTTTTTTTTTAAAAGGTTTTTTTTGTATTTTGCTAACAATAATTTTTTTTTTCACAGTTTTCCAAAAATCTCCTTCACCTAAAGAACCTAACCCGAAATAATGAATTCAGAGGGTACTGCATTTGGTTATGTGAATGCAAAAAAAAATGGGAAAGTATATATGACCCGAAGGTATTCAGTAACTTTTTAAAGCATCCAGATCGTTTTAAAAAGAAATGTTGGAGTTGCAATAATAATAAGGAACATCTGGTTTCGAAGATCAGTCTGTACAAGCAGGAAATACTACCAGAGTCAAATGTATGTTAAATGCAAGATATTTGAATGCAATATAATTTCTGACATTCTGTTACTATTTTATTCTCATAGATTACTGTAGCTCTTAATCACCTAATCAAAAACGATAAATACAAAGTATATGGCAATTGGGTATGTCGAGAATGGAATTGTCAACACAAGCCACAATGCCGGGACAAATGGGCATGTCAAAGAGAATGGGAATATCGAAACAAAATGCAATGTAAACACAAACCCAAGTGTCGAAATGGAGATAAATGTCGATACAACCAGTGTATATGTCCAAACTCTTGGTGGCGACCTCGACATGCAGAGTATTGTCAAGAAGCATGGGTAACTCAAAACAACTGGAATTGTAAACATTTGAAAAAATGTAATGATCGACAGAATTGCCAGCACGAGACAAAATCCAAAGATGATGAATGGGTTTGTCAACACGAGATAAAAAAAAACTCGCTTAGTCAATACAAATGTGAAAGTGAATGGGTTTGTCGACACAAATGTCAAAGCGAAAGGGAATGTCAACATGAATGGCAATGCCAAAATGGATGGCAGAGTGCTCAATATACTCGGGAGGAGTTAATCGAATGTCTAAAAAAAACACCAGAAGAACAGATTGATTTTTTCAAGCAGCCTTGCAAGAAATGTAAAAATGAGAGTTCAATTTCTAGTTTCCTTCTGTATAAGCACCAGCCAGAAAGTTTAAATGTAGGTTAAATTTATTGCAAAGTATTCCCGCTTTTTAAAATTCCTCGTATTTTACTAAAACTTTATCTCAATAGAAAAAACCTGACCTTGAGATCGTCTGTCATCTAGTATGGAACAATTTTTACAGAGTGTTCGGCGATTGGAAATGCAATAATTGCAAAGCATCTTGGGAAAGTGCTTATACTTGGATATCGCTTCAAAAGTTTATAGAAAAAACTCGAGGAGGTGATTTGATAAAAGAGGATTTTTATGTGGTGGAATCGTGCAAAGAAAAACTCTGCAAGAGATTAGAATCAACTAGCATTTTAAAAGAATTCAAACCTCTAACACAATCAAAGAGTAAAAAGCTTCCTCATAGACGGGATTTATGTCAAAAATGTCTGCATTATGAGAATTGTACCCAAACTGGTGTCTATTTTGGTTATCAAAATTCTCAGAAGAAATAATGGGCGACGAATCTCTCGCGTCACTAAATTTTCTATTTATTTAGTTATATTTTTATTTTCATTATTAGCATTTATTTCTATATTTATTTATTTTATGATTATCTATTTTATCCAATTCTCAACTATTAATTAATTGTGTAACGCCTGGTTTAAAAAAAAAACACAAACGATTTAGCATGCAAGTCTATAATCTTCCCCAGGAAAATACCCATTGGAATGTTTGCAATTATGTTAATACATTTTCCTGTGATTTTTTCTTGAAAAATTAGAGCATTTTGTAAATGGGAATTCGTTCGCTTGAATGCTTAAGGGGAACTCATTATCTTCCTACCAATCATTCAATTGGAAGTATCATTTACACAATTCGTGTTAGGAAGCAGAAACGAGATGTCAGTTCATACGAAAGCTTTATTATTAATCCAAAGTGAAAAACTACACCGTTAAAGCTTTCTGATAAATATTTTTTATATCAAAAGGTACTCTACACAATTAGGGGGGTAGGCGCACAATACACGTACAATTTGTATATATATAAACAAAAAAAATATGTGAATTGTGTGTAGCGTAGTGGAAGCTTGTTGTTACACGAAATTTTATACAGAACCCATTGCTCCTGAAACTTCACCAGTATATAATTGTTACCTATTTCAAGTTCAGATCCAATTCAAATCCAGTTTATCACTTACTTTTTATTGCCAGAATGTTTGCCGTGTATTGTAAAGCTACGTTGCGCAATATAAAAAATTAGTGTAACATTTTAAATTTCCACTATTACTATGCTATTGTGTGTGTGTTTACCCCCATGTAGAATATTTATTGGTTTTCTTTCAATTTTCAACTTTTACTTTAAATGCCAAAATTAATGTGTTATCTAAAGTTACACAATCCTTATCTTATATCCGAAAGCGTTATATAATAATAATGATCCTCTCTTTACTATTACAATATAATTTTCTTTCTATTATATTTCCAGTTCATATATAAAAAAATATTCATGGAAATATCTGAATCGGAAACGGTATTAGTATATTCAATTTCATCAGAAAACAATGGCATATATTCTAAACAATCGTAGAGGATTAACGCATAATATGTGAATAATTTTTAGTACATTAACTATGCGCTCATTTTACGTCAAACCCTTACAATTGTTTATAATATTTGGCATTAGTTTTCCTGATGTTGTGAAATAATTGCAAATATGGTAACTGATAGCATCTCGATCATTTGATAGGTCTTTTTGGGGTGGAAAGGTACGGGACCAGTTGCGGAAAAATTATTGAAGATAAATAAAATGAACGTCTGTCAAATAAAAATTTTTTTTTGTATTTTTGTATTGCAACCAATTTTTTTTATATTCCATTAATATAATGTTTTTTCATAGTTTGCTGAACTGGTTTCTTACATAAGGAGCCTAACTCAGGATAGTAAACATAGAGGGCACTGCACTTGGTTATGTAAATGCGGAGATAAATGGGATAGCATATATGAACCGGAGGCATTTAGTAAAATTTTAAAGCATCAAAATTGTTTTTACAGGAAATGTTGGGGGTGCAATACTGAGTGCCTGGTCTCAAGTATCAGTTTGTACAAGAAGGAACCGCCACTAGAGTCGAATGTATGTCAAATACAAGACATTTAGCCTTTTGAAATATAACACAATTTCTAATATTCTGTTTAATATTTTACTCACATAGATTGTTGTAATCCTTCGTCATCTAATCGATAATAATAAATTTAGAGTGTACGGCAATTGGTTATGTCGAGAATGGAATTGTCAACACAAACAAAAATGTCAAGACAAATGGTCATGTCGAAAAGTGTGGGAATATCAAAACAAAATGCAATGTGACCTTGTTGTTAAGTGTCAGAATGGAGAGGATTGTCGGCGCCATCAGTGTACATGTCCAAAAACTTGGCAACGACCTCAACATGCAGAGAAATGTCAAGATAAATGGACAGATCAAAACAACTGGGTTTGCAAACATCAGAAAGAATGTAAAGATGAACAAAATTGCCAGCACACAAAATCCAAAGATGAATATAAATGGGACTGTCAACACGAGATAAAAAAAAAATCGGTTAGTCTATACAAATGTGAAAGCGAATGGGATTGTCGACATAAATGTCAAAGCGAAAGGGAATGTCAACATGATTGGCAATGTCAACATGAATGGAAAAGTGCTGAATTTACTCGGAAGAAGTTACGCGAATATCTAAAAAAAACACCAGAAGAATTGGCCGATTTTTTCAAGCAGCCTTGCAAGAAATGTGGCAACAAGAGTTCGATTTCTAGTTTTCTTCTGTATAAGCAACAGCCAAAAAGTTTAAATGTAGGTTAAATTTATTGCTTTTCAAAATACCTTGTATTTTACTTAAAATTTTATCTCAATAGGAAAAACCTGACCTTGAGATCGTCTGTCATCTAGTATGGAACAATCTTTACAGAGTGTTCGGCGATTGGGAGTGCGATAGTATCTTTTCACATAGGTGGGGAAGTGCTTATACTTGGATATTACTTCAAAGGTTTATAGAAGAAGTTCCAGGTAGTGATTTTTATGTGGTGGAAACGTGCAAAGTAAACTACTGCCATGGATCAACCGGTATTATGAAAGGATTCAAACCTCTAACATCATCAGGTGGTAAAACATTTCCTCATAAACGAGATTTATGTCAAAAATGTCTGCGCTTTGAAAATTGTGTTCAAACTGGCACCTACTTTGGTTATCAGAAGAAATCGTAATGGTTAAATGAGCCGATGAATTTCTCGTATTACTAAATTTCTTGTTTTCATTTAAATATTTATTTACTAGCATGTATTTTATTAATTGTGTTATTATCTATTTTATCTATTATCATTAATTTTAAATGATAGGAGGATCATATAAACATTCCTCCATAAACCGTCACTGTATATATAAATAATCTCGAATATGTAATAAGGATGGATAGAAGGTATTACAGATTAATTAATTATATCAGGTCATTTATTAAAGGAATCAATAAAAATGATCAGTCATGTTTAATAACTTAACCTTGGAATTGCTTTGTTCGTTCTGTCTGATTTTGTTGTCATTTGCTCCCAATCTAACCTCTCTCATACTTGTAAAAAACCTTTTCACAAGTTGATTTACAAAACCATTAAAAAAAGGAAATTTCTCTAGAAGAAAACTTTTGTGAGATAGCAAACAAGAAAATTAGAATTTTTAATAGATATCCTTATATTTTTAATTATCAGGTAGGTCCTGTGTAATTACTGGCAGAAATAAACATACTTATTTTTGCAACTTTATATTATAATCATGTGATACAATCAGTTTATCGTTTAATAATAATATATTTGAATAAAGAAAAAAAAAAATATTTCTGCCAGTGATTACACAGGACCTACCTGATAACAAGAACTTACAATGATAATAATGGTAATAGCTATTGTTGAAAAAAACTAATGATATATCTATAACTTGTAATAAAGTTGATCAGAGTTTAACTCAAGTTATGAAAGATGTTGGAGATTTAACAAGATTGAAGAAGAAATAATGTACTATTACCAAGAATCAGATAGGAGCTTGATGATGCAGCAAGAAAGGAACTTCAAGTAATTAAATATAAAAAAAATGAATGAATGAAATAATTTAAAATTTTTATGTTAATTTGATTATTTTTATTTTATTTTTAAGTTAACACAAAATATGACATTAGAAGAAATATGAAGAGAAAATATAAATCTTTATAATATTGTTGATCCCAATGATATAAACACACATAATGAAAGACAAGCAAAAGTATTGATCAATAATTCATATGTTTGTTTGTAGTTATGGAATCTGATTTTTTAATTTATATTTAGTTTCTTTTAGATAGATCTGAAGTAGAAACAGGAGAATCATTACTAAAGGATATCATTTGCCATACATCGCACATTTATATATGCACATATACATAAGGTATAAATCTAAAAAATTATATTTCTTGTATAATAGGAACCTAAATTATATGAATTGGTTTAAAAATGTTGCCAAAATCTTTTCAAATGCATTTAATAGTAACTGTTATCATCATTATTACATTATAAATATTTTTCACTATTATATACAAAGTTTTAAATTTGGGAATCACAAAAATAGGATCGGCTTATCAAAATTCGGTTTATGATACAAACAGGGCTGGCAGCGTAAAGGGTTAAAAACCTAATTTAGTAATAATCACCTGACTTAACATATGACTAAATAGTTGATCAGTTTAGCCAAATGCTCATTTGAGTTACGCAGCCCAGCCCTGGATGCAAAACGTTATTTATTAATTGTTCAAAATAAATTCGGCTTACAACGTTATAAAATATAAATTTTACAAAATTATTCTAAACAAAAATATTTATCTAAAGATTGTTGCACGGAACTATTAACCTTATGACTTAACAATTTTTTTCTAAGAGTACGAATACATAAATTTTCAACACCCAATTATGGTATCTATAATAAAAATTTTTGGAATAGAGGTTTCATCCTGTTGCTCATCTATTTCTATTTCTGTGTTGAATTAATGCAATAATATCCTCGTCTTTTTATTATAACTTGACATGGTTAAAGATAGAAAGCAGAGTTGTTGGGTGATTGACCATTTTTAAACCGAATTTATCATTCATTATAAGACGAATTTTTAAAACCAGTTTATGATCATATTCGGCTTAGAAAGTTATATTTTTGTTATTTTGTACAAACCATTAAGTTCGGTTTATCAAGTAAAGTAGAAATTATAATAAATTTCGGCTTAACGAAAAATAATTTTTATTAAATATGATTTGATTAACCAATTTTGCATCGTTATGAAGCGAAAATCGGTTTATAGTTTATCGAGGTTTGACTGTACTCATGAAGATTATGACAAATGGGGTATAAATTTTCTGGTATGTGAATTTTTAAAATATACATTTGCATAAAGCATATATGGGTATGTTTTTTTAAAAAAAAACTATTATGAAAAGTGATAATGAAGAATTACAGTTATTGACTGGCCAAAGACAATTGGGAGATGTGAGTATATTATTTTATCAAATTGTAAGATGAAAAGAGAAAAAAAGTTACAAGGTAATTTTTATTAATTATTTATACATAATAATATTTTGCAGGAAAGATCTGTATTAACTATCATGTATTTAATGGCATTATAAGAATTGGCCAAAACACCATTTTGTGTTGTTGAGGTTAACCAAGGAATGGACTCTATAAATGAATGCTTAGCTCATAATCAAATGATTGAAACTGCATGTCAATCACAGTATGTGCCATTATTATTATTAACTGTTTACTATTATTATTAAAAAATAATCATCGTTGTCTTTTATTTGTATTTGTTTTAGATATTTTTTAATAACCTCTGAATTTTTGTCAGATTGTAATTGTAAATATCATGCATCTTATGTTGGTAATGTAGAATGGCAATCTGAAAGAATGAACTAATGAGTGATTTGAGACAATCATTATTTTTAAATTTTATGATGTAGAATTTTATATTAGTTTAAAAGGCATTAAAAGCCATTCTTAAACCATGATAATTTTCGACCTTCAAAATACATAGAATCCCAATAAGTGAGCTCTAAAATTTTCAAAGAAAAAATAAGGTTTAAAAGTCTGTTGATTACAATACTCTTTATTATGGATTTTTAATATTAATAACATAGTTGGCTCAGTCTAAAGACCTCCGCAAATTTTAAAAGTATAGAAGTCATTTTCAGTCCTACCTCTTAAAAAAATAGCCTCATTAGTTGATATAATAGGTCTCTAGTTTTAATCTAATGAAAAGATTTTATCAAAAAAATATTATTTGTTGTATAGTCCTACTATTACTATGTTCACGAGGAATTTGAACGCCATGATCATTTAGACTAACACGCGACCATCATATCTAAATTTGGCAGCAAGTTAACTAAAGTCACGTGAAGACTTTTTTTTAAAAAAAAAAATAGTGCGCTAATACTAATGACTGATATGAATCATGAAATTGCCGAGCGCATGGCGCAGCAATATGACCGAACAAACCATATAAAATAGAAAAGATTGTTTTTTTATTAGTCCTACAATAATAAAAATTTTGTGAATTTCCATAAAAAGGGTTTAATATATTAATATAATTTGGTCTAAACATTTTTTATAATAATTCAAAAAAAAAATGTCATTTCAAGATTTATTATCATCATTATCATCAGACAGAGAAAACTTTTTATTTAGTACTTATTCTGAATTAGAAAATAATTCTGCATCAATTGCAAATGATATTACTTTGTCAAACATATCCAGAAGAGAAATTCAAAAGAATACATTTTTATCATTAATAACTGAAAATGAAAAACTTTCAGAAAATGAAAAAGAATATTGTAAAGAAAGATATATTTATGAATTTGAATTGGATAATGCAACTTATAAATTGGGTGAATTAAAAGAATGTCCTAATTGTAAGTTAGATAGATATTCAGACAAATTTTGTGAAAACTGTATTTTTTTACATTTACAGAAGCTTTTTGATACATGGTCATCTGGAAATAGCATCATTGATAATTTTATTCAAAAATGTCAAAAGATCTCATCTCTTCCTACACAAATTATGGAATGGATCCCATTTGATCAATTTGAAGACGTAGAATATTTAACTAAAGGAGGTTTTGGTAGCATTTATGTTGCCACATGGAGAAAAGGGCGTATATTTGACTATGATGAAAATAAAAAAGAATTTATTTATCATGGACCTCATGCTGTAGTATTAAAACAACTAAATAATTCAAATAAGTTGGTGAAAAATTTCTTTGAAGAGGTCAGCAGTAAAAATTATTTTAAATTAAAAACATCATTATATTAAACATTATATTAATTGATTTCATATAATCTTTCAGGCATTAAATTATTATCAAATTAAATCTGGATTAGTTGTTCCCTGTTATGGTATAACTAGATTCCCAGAATATAACTATGCAATGGTTCTAAATTACCTTAGCCAAGGAAATTTAAGAGATTATTTGCAAAACAATCATTCAAATTTAACTTTAAAAGACAGAATTACAATCTTTCAATGTTTATGTTCATCATTAAATGATATACATCAAAAAGATTTAATACATTGTGATTTACATAGTGGTAATGTATTAGTCCAAGGAAATTGTTGTTTTATTACAGATTTGGGATTATGTGGGCCAGTTGATGATGAATCATTAAACAAAATATATGGAATTGTATCATATATTTCACCTGAAGTTTTTCGAAAAAAAAGCAAAAATACAAAAGAAACAGATGTATATAGCATTGGAATGTTGATGTGGGAGATATTTTCAGGACATCCACCTTTTGATGATAGAGCACATGATCATTATTTGATTATAGACATTTGTAATGGTTTAAGACCACCAATTTTACCAAATATGCCAAAAGAATATGCAGAGATGATGCAAAAGTGTTGGGATGTTGACCCATCTAGAAGACCAACTATTAGTGAACTTTCTAACTTTGCTAAAGATTATTCAACAAAACTTTATAAAATTGAAGATTTAAGTAATGAAATTATAACTTCTACTACTAGCAATTCAAATAATAATAATTCACAACAAATACAAAAATCACATCCATTTGCATATCATTCAAGCAGAATATTAGATGATGATATTGTTAGATATATAAGTTTACAACATGAACTTGAACTTGGTCCAGTATCCAAAGTAATTGACTATTCAAGCAGAATATTAGATGATGATATTGCTAAATATAAAAGTTTACAAAACAAACTTGAACTTGGTGCAGTATCTAAATTTGTTTCTGAAATTGATGATAATGAAATTAAATTAAATTCTATTATGATTAATTGTTTACTAATTTTTAATTTTTCAATTAAAATTAGATTCTAGTAACAATAACAATGGTAAAGGAAATGATGTAGAAATGATGGATGTGGTCAATGAAATTAATGAGACCAATGAAATGATTGTGGAATGGAATCAAGGTAATATATAATGATGTTTAAGTAAAATTTTAAGGAATGAATAATCAATGAAATTTATGTATTTTTAAAACAGTAGAAATCAGCAATAAACCTAACAATGATTCAATCAAACTTTTTACTGGTAAATTTATTTTAAGTTTCCTTTTTATCTATTATTCTTATTTATAATAATTATTTATTTTATTAATTAAATATTAGTTGAAGTTAAGGATATTGTCACAACTGAAGGTAGTTATTATTTGGTTCATATGGTATTTTATATCCTGACTAAATTTTTTATTATCAATTTTAGAAATTATGATGTTGGGTGAATTATCAATGGATGATTAATTATTCACATTAATTTCGATTATGATTTAGCATGTATTATTATTATTTTAAATAACAAATAAATAATTTTATGGATTTAAATATTTAAATAATCCTATATGTATCTTTTTTCAACATAAAAACGAAAAAAATGCCGTGTCCGTCTCTCACAAATTAATATTTTTACATACATCCATATCCACCTTTTTTATTGTTGCCAATTTTGCATTGTGCATTGTTTTCTTTGCTATGCGACACTCTTCTGATTTATTTTATTAAGGAGAGGTTCTTTATATGTATATATTCGATTGATCTCTGAGATTTTTGTTGATTTACTAAAAAAAAATTAAAAGGATGCAATTCAAACAATCTTTTTTAATAAATATCTTTTTTTTTTAATTAACAAATTAATTAATCAGTATACAATATAGGAATTAGACATTCTCCCTCAATAAATCTTCTTTTTTAAACAATATTAAATTATTTTATATTAGAAAATCAGTCAGTATGTACTACTACTTTTTAAAAAAGTTCTATTAGATTTTTCCGTATATAAAAATATTAAATTATCTCACACCTAAATGCTTATCACTGACGGGAACCAGATAAAATAGATTCAATTAATCCATTCAAAATCTTAAAAGGTTCACCACAATTATTGTTATATTGATATCAATGGATCCATCAATAATATTAATATAATCTAAGAAAAAGCAATACCTATTTTTGCATCTTTTGATATTCACTCAGTAGATTAGCAATCCTGTGACCTGAAACTAGTAGGAGTTTATGTTCAGGCTTAGTGTAGGTTCTCTCTCAAAATTGTTTCAAAAGGGTTTAGAGTCATCACACCATTAGTTAGCTATGTGGATCTTTATTTAAACTAATATAAAATCGTAGTCAAAAGTAACTTTTTTGGTTCCGCGGGGAATGACTTTAAATATAATAGAGCGATCAACGAGCTTTTTCTTCTTTTTTTACGAATAAATATTTCTTACATTTCATAAAATGAATGTGATCAAATTATCTATAGCACCTGAGTTTGAAATGCACATAGGAAGTCAATATTGGTATGCAGAGCAAGTTTTATATACATATGAGTTGATGCTTTGACTTTAAGGCTAACATTAATGTTAATAATAAAATAAACACGTCTTGAGCTGTCTTCAGTACCTGAATTTGAAACGTACATAGACTGGTAAATGTAGAACGACTTACATAATAATATAAGATACAGTAAATTTGTTTTCCAAGAAAGTAACCAAAATTCAAAGCCACGTTATAAAAATTATATCGGAGGGTCAAGAGATTTTAAACTATTACATATAAAAACAAGTCTAATAAACGAATTATGTTATTCGAATAATAAACGAATGATAACAATTCAAACAAAACGAATGATTTGAATAATTCGAACGAAAATTTTTATTACGAATAGAAACTCAACTCTATTGCAGAGTCACTAAATAATGTTCAAACTAAGCTAAAATATACAACTACACTGCTTGAGGCGTCCCTACATGCAATATAGTAAAACTAACAAAAGGGGTCTCTAACTAATAATTAAATGTTGGCCAAACCATTAATCATCAGAAAGGGTTATGAATCAATCAATCGTGCCAGATTTATTAATTAATGAAAGTGTCATTATTGAAAGATCAATTATTTTTTAATTTTTTTTTCACTAAAGGAGATTCCAAACATATATATACTTCTTGAAGTATTACAAATAACATGATTTTGTCCAATAAAATAAAATAAAATAGAATGATAAATGATGATTAATTGACAATTACTAAAAGTTAAATGTCAAAAATGAGTCATTGGTGATGTCATGATTAAATGATACCTGATGAAATGTTTTTGTCATGATTAACAAGCTTATAACTGAGAACGCAATGTGAGCTTTACTGGGATGATCAGAAAGTAACTGTAGAAGTAGCACACAAGTATGGAGAAGAAATATCATCAGAAGATGATGATGGATCCGATTCGTCAGAATATGAAAGCTCAGATGCAGACGGAGAATTAGAAGTATTCATGTTGGAACAACACTCCAGAAAGACGTCCCCAATGGTAATAAGAGATGAAGAAGAAACCGAAGAAGAAACTAAAGAAAAAAACGCCAATTATGACGATGACACATACCCAGGAATCGTTGAAGCATACAACTTCACAATGGATAAAGTTAAAAGACCACTTACGACTATGAAGGAGGAGTGGCACATATTTCGAGGAAGACACTACCCATGTGAATGTGGAGAAGAAGACCATCATAACCATTTCCGATGCATATGGTGCAAAAAAATGTGCAAAGGTTCCCATCAAGGATGTAGATGCAACTGGGGAGAAAAGATACAAGCTTACAACCTAAAGGTAGAAACATAAGAGGAAGAAATAGACCAATTTGCAATTGATGTAGGAAAAGAACTTGACGAAGAACAAACCCAACAACTCTCTGATTTGTTGTACAAGTACCATGATATATTTGCTTGGGAGAAGTCCAACATTGGAAGAACCAACATGACTTATCATACTATAGATCTAACTGACTCGAGACCAATTAGACATCAACCAAGAAGAGTATCTCCTGATAGAAGAAAGTTTATCCAGGAAGAAATAAAAAGAATGCTAGACGCGAGATTCATTCGTGAATCAAATAGTGAGTATGCCTCAGGAGTTGTAGTAGTAGAAAAGAAAGGAGGAGACTTATGATTCTGTGTAGACTATAGAGACTTAAATAAAAAGACCAAGAAGGATTCTTATCCTTTACCAAGGATTGATGATACTCTAGAAACACTACAAGGATCACAATGGTTTTTGTCCTTAAATTCGGCAAGTGGATACTGGCAAGTAGAGATGAAACCAGAAGATATCCAAAAGGCTGCTTTCATCACACATCATGGACTCTTTGAATTTACAGTAATGCCTTTCGGATTGACAAATGTTCCTGGAACTATCCAAAGATTGATGGATGAAGTCCTCCGTGACTTGCTATGGAAATCAGTAGTAGTATACCTTGATGATCTCAACATCTTCTTGAAGACATGGAAGGAACATCTAGAACATCTAGAAAACGTTTTCGAACGTATACAAAAAGCAGTATTGAAACTCAGCCCACAGAAATGTCAATTTGGAAACACGGTGTTGAAATTTTTGGGTCACATAGTTGGAAATGATGGAATCAAGATAGATCCAACGAAGATAGAGAAGGTGCAAAACTTTCCTAAACCTATCAACGTCACTCAAGTAAGAAGTTTCTTAGGACTCTGCAATTACTATAGAAAATTTGTAAAGGGATTTGCAAAGAGATCTTCACCTTTAACAGAAATATTAAAGAAAGGAGAAGAGTTTAATTGGACAAATAGACAATAAAGGACTTTTAAAGTCTTGATCGAACAACTCACCACTGAGCCTATATTAGTATATCCAAACTGGAAGCAACCATTCATCTTATCTACGGATGCATCAACATTTGCTTTAGGAGCAATTCTTTCACAACTAGATAATAAAGGAAATAAAGGAGTAATTGCTTATGCTAGTAGACAACTAAGACCGGCAGAGAAGAACTATACAGCAACAGAATTGGAATGCCTCGGCATTATATGGGCTATAAAACATTTTCATACATACCTTAGTGGATCCAAGTTTAAATTAATTACGGATCATGCATTTAAACAATATGAAAGAACCAAAAGGAAAATTAGCTCGTTGGATTATGACACTACAATCATACAATTTCGAAGTAGAACATAGATCAGGAAAGAAGCATCAGAATGTAGATGCAATGTCTAGGATAAAACGGGATACTGGGATTAATTAATTAAATATAACATTTTAATTAATTAGTATTATATATACACAGTAAGTCTCGGTATAGCGGACCTCGGTATAGCGGGTGTCTAATAAAACTCTCGGTTTAACGGATCAAAGCTCAGAACCGTCTATAAGTAAATTCTCTCGGTTTAACGGATTTACTAATTAAATCTTGAATTATTCTCAGTATAACGGATTTTTGAAATTTTTGTTCTAATTGCCCAAATTATCCGCTATACCGAGACTCACTGTGTATATAACATATAATTTTATCTTTAATTTTTTTTTTCTTTTCTCATATATTATTTTTTTTATCATTTATATTATTTATTTAATTATTACTTGACTTTCATGCGGACATGATGACTTGGTGGATGATCATGACGGTGATGCACAGATCTGGTTGGGGTGCATTACACTTTATACTTTATATTTTGCGTTTTACACTTTTTACACTTCATATTTTCCGTTTTACACTTTACACCTTTTATAAATTATACTTTAAAAATATATTAGTTTAATATTATCCTTATTATTTTTTTTTTGTTACACATTTCATATCTTATATATTTTATTACATATTTTATATATTACCTTAATTTTTTTTTTTGAAAATTTCAATTTCCTTCGGGAAAACTTTTCAGCAATAGTTCATATATATGTATATCTTACGAACAACACTAGGACTTTCTGTAGAGACTTTCTTGGAATTCAAAGTATTGTTCTTAAGGAGTATATGTGAAGGATCGTTGAGAATTATATAACACCACACTATGGATTTAAACTTGCATTACAACTTAGTAAAATATTTGTCAGATTTAATTTTTCCAGAATCATCTACGGATGAAGAGCAAAAGAAAATAAGAAGTCAATCAAGATATTTCATAGTAAGAGAAGGTATCCTATACAAGAAGAATAGGAAGACCCCTCAAAGACCCCTCCGGGTGGTAAATCAAATGAAGTAGAAATAATACTACACAACTTACATGCTGATTCGTTAGCAGGACACTTCGAAATTGAGGCAACCTATCATAGGGTTGCTGAAAGATATTACTGGAACCAAGTGTATAGTGATATAAGGGAGTACGTTCGAACTTGTGATGAATGTCAACGTAGGGGTGGGCCTACTAAACATGAATATATACATCCAATTAAAGTTGAACAACCCTTTGAGAGATTAGGAATGGATATTGTTGGACCTTTGCCTGAGACTAGGAAAGGAAACAAGTATATGGTAGTGGCAACCGAATACTTGACTAAATGGCCAGAAGCTAGGGCGATTCCTGATGCAAAAGCTGCTTCGGTGGTGCAATTCTTCTATGAAGACATAATTAGTCGCCATGGATCCCCTAAAATATTATTAACTGACCAAGTAACACATTTTGTTAATCAAATGTTGGATGAATTATGTAGAGTGATGGGGAATAAAACACAAATTATCATCAGCATATCATCCTCAAACAAATGGTTTAGTAGAAAGATTTAATAGGATGCTTTGCGAAGCACTTGCTAAGTATGCAGCAACCTATAAAGAAGATTGGGATATATATTTACCTTCGGTATTGTTTGCTTATAGAACTATGATACATAGTACCACACGACATGAGCCATTCTATTTGACATATGGAGGAGAAGCAACTTTTCCAGTTGAATTACAAATTCCTACTTATCCTACGGAAATTGGTAGTGAAGAAGAATTATTATTAAAAAGGGTTTACGAACTCATTGGAAATTTACCAGAGAAAAGAGTGAATGAGAGAGAAAATATTTCAAGGTCACAAGAAAAACAGAAAGAGCGGTATGACAAGAAGGTTGTAGAACAAAAATTTTATATTGGAGATAAAGTTTTGTTGTACAGGAACCCTGCCAAAAAACTAGAAGAAAAATGGGAAGGACCATTCTATATTCATGATATTGGATTAAATGGAACTTACCAATTAAGGAATGTAGAAGGCAAAGTTAGAAAATAATCAACACATCAATCACTAAAAACACTATAAATACGGAATTGCAAAAATTTACTTCAAGAAAATAAAAATTTATCATTAAATATGAATCAAACATCTACTTATTCTTATTTGACACTTGCATTAGAACAACAGATTTAAAAATTGATAGAGTGAATGCCAGAAGAAGATGAAGTAACTATACGAAACGGGGGGGGGATTAAAAATAAATGGGGAAGACAGGCATTACGATTAACATCACCACAACGATCCTCCGGGATTGAAGAATATTTGGACGAATTTAGAGAATGGCGAGATGACAAAGTAGAACTACCAACTATTGAAGGAAGTACAGAAGCACAGGTGGGGGTAATTCTAGCAAAATTGAAGTTTCCTAAGAACAGAACTTTCGAGAATTATTATGTTCTTGGAAAACTTATAAATGAATACCCCTCAACTGTGAGAAAAAGTATTAATTGGATAATGTCCAAATCAAATGTGGAGGATAAACGTGTCCGATTAACAAAACGGACTGTGATCTTATTTGACATAGTCGGATTATCCTACTTATCCTTAAGAAGATTAACTCCTCGTACCCTTCAAAACCTGTCTAATGAAAAATTTGAAGAATTAATTAGTGGTGCAAGAGAAATCGTTGCAGAACGATTAGCACCACCTAATTTATTGGAAGTACTGTTGGGTGATTTTACTTTGCCTGTTTCGCAGGAGCTCAATGTTGAAGGAGGAGTGATGTTACCAGGATCAGATGATGATGACGATAATTTGGCCGAATCCTTTAATTTTGGGTCAAATTAAATTTTATTTCTATTTTTATTTTTATTTTTATTATTATTTTATTTAACCTATTATTTATTTTTATTTTTATTTATTTTATTTTTATTATTTCTATTTTTATTTATTAATAACGTGTATAATTATTTATTATCATCTGAATTGGTGTTACGTTTCGCGTATTATTATTATTAATCAATCCGTAGCACGTTCGTATTTATTTAACTTTATTTAGTAGAGATTAATGACGATTCTCCCGGAACGGGCGGAATCGCTCAAAACATGCGGATTCGCCCAAGTACAAAGTGAGCGAATTCGCGCAATTCGGGCTAATATGTAAATGAACATGTATATAAAGAACTTGATTTCGACCTAATGTAAAAGTAACTTTGTTACAAGTTAATTAGTTTCGACTAAGGAAAACTTTTTAACAAGTTAATTAGTTTCGACTAAGGAAAACTTTGTCATAAGTTAATTAATTAGTTTCGACTAAATAAAACTAAATAAATAAAATAGTAATATTTTATCTAGATAAACTTTTATCTTCTTTAACCAAAATTATTCGCTAATACCAAAATCAATTCGTTGATCCCCTATTCATTCTGATCCACGCAAAAACAAAAATAATTGTTATCACCAATTAAATACGCTCTCCCAAATTTAATCGGTGACATTACCAAGAATAATATTGATATCTAAACCAGACATATTTAGCAATTATAATAAGTTTATTGGTTTATATGTGATTTATTATTAACCTATAGTCTAAGAATACATGATTCATTTTTAATAAAGCGAAGAGATAATCTATAGTAATAGTAATAATAGTAATACTGATATATGGGAACCATGTGCAGTTAATCCAATTTTGATATCCCTACATATTAACGCACAAATATATCAACCGGCGTTCTATGAACTTCTAATAATAGCCAAATTAGCTCGATGGTACATGAAACAAAAGTAATGTATATTAGACTACAAACGTAAACATATTAATAGCTCTGCTGATATATGGAAACAAGGTGGTCTATCCAATTGGAAGTTTGCCATATTTTTCATAGTGGCCAAATCCGAAACGAAACGGTCAATTGATCTGGTGTGAACGTGTCTCCACACAAATCACATCTCAGAAGATTCTTAACATAATTGAACTTTGTTTCGAAAAAAGGACAAGAATTTAAAAATAAAACTCAATGATATATATCGTATGTGTTTTTATTTTTGCCAAAAAATTCAACCATTACAATACTCTAGCAAGGTGAATAACTTGTCAAGTAAAAAATTTAATGCCAAGATAAAATTTTTATAATGTTTTGCTTATAAATAAAACTTGAGAATATTAAATGTAACAGATAACATTGATAAAAAAGAAAAAATCTAGTCGGTTTTATAAATAGAAGACTTTACATTTAAAAATTAATAAAATAATAATTAATTATCAAACTCTCTCTCACACACTCTTACTCGCACTCGCACTCTCACTGTCACTCTCACTCTCACTCTCACTCTCACTCTTAATCTCACTCTCAAAACCCTTTCTCTCAAAATCCTTTCTCTCAAAACCCTTCCATGTTTTCCAAATCGGAGTAAAACCTCTCCCTGATATCATTTTCTTGAATTTTTCACTATTCTCGTCTAATATTTTTTTTAAATCTTCTTTTGGCGCTTCATTCTTTACACCAACACAAAAATTATTAGGAATAAAAATTTTATCAGGATCATATTTATCTCTTAATTCACATAATTTTTTATATTTGTCTTCAGTTTCATAATAACAATCATGAAAATAATTGAGATTTAAGTCATGAGAAGCCCATAACAAACGCATATCTTTATCAGAGAATATAGGATTATTCACTGAAACACATTTATCATTTTCTCTTTGCCATTCGCTTGCTAAATGAAATTTCTCTTTTTCGAAAAATACGTCAAAGGTAAATCCAAAATTCATATTTCGCCAACTAATTGATGTTTTATCCTGGTTTTCTACGCCTTTCTTATAAAATTCGGATTCTGCACCACCATAGTATTTGAATTGAGCTGAAAGTTTTAATTTTTATTTATTGCTAAGTTAACACGATTGGTAACCCAAGCGGACCAATTAGTATCAATTAACTTGCTTGCTTCCCAATCGGAAAAATACCCACGCTTTATATACTGCAATTGAAATTCTCTTCTGATAAACACAATCCAATCTCTAACTAAATCTGAAACTTTAATATCCTTTTTTGTTGTGTCTGTTACAATTGTCCATTTATTTGGTTCTTTAACAACATCTTTTATTTTCTTAATTGGAGAAGTGTTTTCGTCGTATTCTTGATAATGATAAGCGTGTATGATGATCATAGTTGGCCAAACAACATCTTCATCACCACTATTAACATACTCTTGTCGATTGTATGTTTTGTCATATGATGGATCATTATCTAAGACATTTCCAATATCTTCTATACCTGAGTCAGATATGAGTGTGACACAATAATCAAAATCATCTTCGTCGACGGTTTCTAACATTATATCCAAGAATGTTTTAAAATATCCAGGATCGTATTCACAAACTGCAAAAAATCCACGAGGTGAATACTTGCGATCCTTTAAAACATTAAACTTAACGTGTGTAATTACACCGAAATTACCCGGGCTACCACCAATGACAGCACGAAATAATTCGGCACCTTTTTTAATCCATTTTGCTGTATATTTATTTTCAGTTTCGTCATAAGATATAATCTTAATCTCCTTAATATAATCTATTAAAAGACCAAAACCCCTCGCGAGTTGTCCATAATCACCAGTTTGTACATGTCCTCCCAAACCTACATATTCACATTGACCTACCGGTAAGAACTGTCCTTTATCTTGTAATATTTTCGCAAACTCATCCAATGAGTGACTAATTCCAATTTCTAATTCAGTGCTCTTACGTTTCCACACAAAATTCTTTTACGTATTAGATAAATCTAATTGTATGTTGTTACGATCGGTAGAGACGCACCGGTATATTGATGCCCACCTTTAATAAATATTTATAAAAATAAAATATATAATATAAATTTACTCGCCATAAATCGTTATTACACGTTTAAGTGTTAGTTTACATTGATTTCAGTTAATCTTAAAATAACATACCTGTACGAATAGCAATTTTCAAATTATTTGTTTGAGCGTATTTTAACGCTATATAAATATCATCAAAATCGTCATCATTTGTTGCTTTTGGATACAGCACAAATTGGGGGTTCATATCTTTGATACTACGAAATGAACTTTTTGCATATTGATAAGATTTATGCAAATATTCATTACGATCTTTTTTAGGCTAAAATATTTCTCCTTTAAATCCATCAAAAAACTGTGGTGGATCCATTTTTTATTTTTCATGATAAAAAATAATTTAGTTTATTTATATTAACTGAAATTATTAAATTTCGTGCAGGACGCCTTTTTCACTTGTATGACATAAAAAATCCAAAAAAATCAACAATTAATACTGAAATGTTTATTTCGTTATATTCTTATGTTAAAATAGCGATTTCTGTCCAGAAAAACAACAATAATAATATCTATTCGTTTCACAATGATTTTTTTTTCGCTAAAATTATTTTCTATTGTTATATATACGTATTAATAATAAAGCCTTTTCTTATTGTATATGGTTTCTCCGATAAGAATAAATGCTAATGAAACTTGAAAAGGATAAAAGAATGGAAGGTTTATTGTTCTTATCAGTAACAATAATATCAAATTTCATGTGAATTATAGAACTTGAGATCTTTACAATCTCCGAAGAACGTCAAAATTTGTCTTATTTTTCATTCTACAAAAAGCGATCTCCAGAATGAAAGGCTTAATTTCCCATAAAAGATGAAATATACTTTCCTCTTTGCGCTTGTGATTTAATAGAACTGCTTTATGGGGCAGAGATTCCGTTAATTGCAGGTGAAAAGCATTTTACTATCATATCATTATGTTAATCTCTTTTTCTAACAGGTTCTCAGATTTGGCAAATGGAACAATATAAATAAACCGATTTGTGAGATATCATTTTTAATTTTATCGATTTTTTTTTCAAAGGTAATAGTAATACATTGTTTATGAAAGCGAAATTCTACTTATTATAAATATTTGTCATTAGGAAAAGAAAAATGGATGATAACAACAATAACGATAACAATAAAATAAAAATAATTATTTTAGGGTGCTGACCAGTGTTGTGAC